CTCTTGAAACTCAGGTTGGCTGGTCGTTCATCCGGCCCTTCTCAAAAGATCTGTGGAAAGGGAAGGTCTGCAAGAACGACTTGAGGCTCAACACAACAGTTGCTCGGCGTTTTGTTGGAAGACAAACAACTCATGGACACCTTACACTGGTTAAATGACTCTGATTCGAAAAATGTTGAATTTCTCTTTACGATTTTGGGGGGGAGATTGAATTTTAGCAGAAAAAAGGGAAACCCAACCTGCGGAAGTCCTAGGTGATTTTCGGAGTCCTCTCGGTGATGCCCCGCACCCGTTTGGCGGAGAGCATCCTGGCCCGGGCGGTCAAGCAGTGGGGTGCAAAGGTTGGGCTGCTGCCAGCCCAAGGCATTTCTGAGGATGTGGTGGATGAATGGGCCGACAAAATGGGAAGTGGAGCTCGGATTATTTGCTCTGCCTTCAAAAAAATTTGGACTGAGAGCCCTGCAACAGCCAAGGGGAAAGAACTGACTGAGTTGAAGCAGAAACTCAACCAGGCTATGGCTGAGGGGGACATGGGAACACCTACAACATGTACACCTGCTCCCTCTACGGTTACTTCCCCTTCCACTGACTTTTTGGAGGTGTTTGACTGGGGACAGTTGGAGGAACAGTTGGTGCAGCTGGAGGAGGAACAGAAGCAAACCAAGAGCGATGCCAACCCAGGTCAATGCCCTATGCCCCTTGTTCAAGAGGCTGAGCCTACTTCCAAGCCTTCCCCTTGCACTAGTGCAAAACTGGGTCAGTCGGAGACCATGGAGTTGCCTGCTTGGGCCTGACACTGAGTTGATATGTTTGTGCGAACAATCATTTGTGTGCAGGTTGCTCCTGAACCACTGCGTTTTAAACTGAGGCTGTTCGGGTGCTAGAGAACCTCCCTGCCCCAGCTGCCTTTGCGGTCCACGGCGAGCCCGTCGAAGACGAAGGCGCCAGCGCTTCTGCGGGAAAGAGGGCCAAACCCGGCCCGGCTGCAAAGAAGCCGAAGAACAAAAAGAAAAATGTCGACAAAAAGAAGGACACCCTGGCGCCTCTGGATGAGGCCATGGAGGAGATTGATACCGTGCCCGAAACTCCCTTCAACTACAAAGCCCAGAACTTCCGGAGTGAGCAGCTGAAATTCGTGAAGGATTTGAGGGCCTTGACGGGGATTTCCCACAAAGAAGCCCTTTCAAAATGGATGATCAGCAAAAAGCGGACCCATTTTTTGGCTGATATGCCGGTGCAAGAGCTCAAGAAACGTAGGTTTGCTTGAGCCTGGTGGTTTATTTGCAAGTGGGTGAGACACCGTGTCCTGCCCTGGTTCTTAACTAGGGGATGTGCAATTTTCTGCGCATGCGCAGAACAGTTGCAGGGGTACATGAGCTGTGGGCTCATATGTTTGCAGCCAGATGGGCCACTTGGAGCCTCGGACACCTGAGGGAGTGGAAAAGGCACAGCCGTAGCTCTGTCTTCATCTTGCACACTTTCATTGGGCCATGCCATGGGCACCAGCTTGGCCTACACGCTTGCCTGCTGTTGTGCCTTTCAGGCCCAGGTAGTTCAGGTAGTCTTGGTTTGCATGTAGCTGTGAGATCGCATGAAGCTTGCCCATTTCCTGACGTTCCCCATGCCTTCAGCTTTTGTGCTGGTTCTGCTCCTTGTCAGCTTGAACGAGAAATTTCAGCTGCCTTGTGTCCAGCTGGCGTGTTTGTCCAATGTACGCACTGCAGCCTTTTTGCTGGGTTCCGATTCCCGCCGTGCCAGGATCACGATTTTGCAGAAGTTTTCTGCGGATGTGGTCGAGTCAGCACCAGCCTCAGGAAGGCGTGGGTCATTTGGTCACCTGTGTGTCAGCCAGTCTTTCCCCTGTCAGATCGGCTACAATGGGACTTCCCTGGACCTGAACCTGGGGGGCTGCTTCGACATTTTAAGCGCCAGTGGCTTCTTGCCTGTGCCTCAGCTTCGTATCACCGTGTGTGTGTAGGTCCTTGAACGTGCTTGATGTGTGACTCTCCCCATGATCGAGGGCCTCGCTGATGGCCGTGCACCGGGTCAACGCAGGCGGACTGGTGATATTTGGACTGCCTTGCTCTTCTTTCTGCATGCCGCATCTCATTTGCACTGATTTCGCTTGTAGTTGTGCACTTGAGCTGAAACCATGCGACCCCTTTGAAATCTGATACCATCCCAGGGCATCAGGGACGCATCAGAGATCGGTGATCTTCCCTTTGGGGAACCGGTGCTATCCCAGTGTTGCGCAGGGCAATGACATCTGCTCACGAGTCGCACTTTTGATGGCCTACGCTTTGGTGCGTGGTTGCCGGGTGTTGCTCGAACAGCCTCGAGGCACGAAGGCGACCCTGCATCCGCGCGTGGAGTGGATCTGTGAGCACTTCAAGGCCAGCTTCCAACTTGTAGTGTAGTTCTGTCCATGCCCATGGTCCTTGTCCATGCTGTAGTCCTTGTGCTTGCTGTAGTCCTTGCCCACGTTGCAGTCCGTGTCGACGCTGTGGTCCCACTCCCTTTCCAAGTCCTCGTCCACACTGTAGTCCTTGTCCCTGCTTCGTCCTTGTCGTCCACGCTGTAGTCCTTGACCATGCTGCAAGCCTTGTCCACGCTGTAGTCTTGTCCATCTTGTAGTCCTTGTCCATGCTGTAGTTCATTCGCCACGGGCAGGTGTTCTCTGTTTACCTCTGGCACGGCGTCTACAGCCACCACACTCCCAAGCCCCAGATCTGGCTGTCGAATGATGAGATGCTGTTGGCTCGTCTACGGGCAGCTGCTGGCGTGTTGTCTGCTGCGACCCGGAGCCAACTGACAGGTGAGCCGCTTGTCAAGCGCTACAAAACTGCCGATGGCCGGGTGGGCTGGTCGGGTGACAGTCAAGTGCTGAAACAGAGCCAGCTGTTTGGCTGCAATGAGCACTAGTGGATGGCTCTTTGTCGTTTGGTGGTTTGTGCAAAGTGTTTGTGCTTCTTCAGCTAATGTGTTGCCGCCTGCAGGGAGTATAGCCTGCCCTTTGCCACTCACCTGGCCCAGATCTTTCACGAGAGTCGGCGATACGTATGCGAGGCCATATGTTTTTTGGTCAAGGGCTTGTGTGATGGGCTCGTGCCAGGCACTTCCACCTGCCCCCAAGAGCTACACGTATGAGCTCAGCCTGCACTTCCCACACAACTGGCAGTGAGGACAAATTCCTGTGCCCAACACATTAGCTTTGCTGGCCGCCAGACCATGGACTTCGACCTCCACGACTGGCCAGAAGCAGGGCACCCAGTGAACTGCGGTCATCTTCTCTGGTGTGTCCACTGTGCTGCTGAGGCCAATCTGAAGCAGGTAGTGCGGTACTTGCTGAAGTCAACCAGGTTTCAGCGCGCTCGGGCTGGGTCCTGGAACGCAGTTCTCGAGGCTGCTGGCATGTGGGCCAATGGAAGCCACTAAGGGTTGGTGATGTGCTGCATGTGCTAGCTGTATCCATTGCCACCCAAAATCAACCACAACCTTCAGATGTGGCTTCTGATGCTGGCTTTAGCGCGTTGTGACTGGTTGATCTTGGCGCGTGCGCCTTTGCATTGCCAAAATACATCTGCGGTAAATACCCGGGAATCGGCCGGGAAAACCGGTAATCGGCGGTAAATTCTGAGCCATGTTTTGGAGCTTGTGATTGTGGCACTCTTGGGCACACCTGCGTCAATTGTCTGTGTTTGACAGTTTTTGGCCCCAGTGCAGGTGGTTGGTGCACACATGGCGCCAAAAAGGGGCAAACCAAGTCATCCTGCTCCCAGTACGGAGCATGTGTCAGAGCCTTCAGTGAAGGCAAAGCTCGCGGAGCTGAAAGCCTCCCTTGGGAATCGCCGGCCCACCGCTGGTGAGCTTGCTCACGCCTTGAACTTGGAGCGTGAGACAGTGGTGTCCAAGTTCGGGCACCTGCTTTCCACACCCGCCATGCCGGAAGATGTTGAGATGCTTAAGGACCCACTCAAACTCTTGGCTTGCATGTGGTCTTGGCTTGGCTGGCAGGATGTTGATTTGGTACACTCCCGGCCACTCAAGCGCCTAAAGCCCTTGTGCGGCCCTTAACCACCCATCTGATACTGTGCAAGACATTCAATACAAACGCACACCACAAAACTTTATTTTTGGACTTCAGGCCCGATGAGGAACATGTTGAGACCGAGGTGGGCCTAAAATGTTTGTGGCTCCTGAGTGCTCATGTCATCAAATGGCCAGGGTGGTCCTACTGAACCTGTTGGGGGTGAGCCTGCGCCTGAGCCTTAATGCCTTAGCGGGAACTATCTTACCAGTGAGTTTTTTCAAACTGCACAAGGTCCCTGGAGACGCTTGCGGATGCTCAAACGATTATGCGTGCGCAGACCCAATCTGTGGAATCCATGGACGGTTCCCAAATGCCTTCACCTCAGTTTGACCAGTGAGGGTTTCTTGCCACCCCGCCGGCCTGCATGCAGGCAGGATCCGGAGACGGCTGTGCCTCCGATTGCGCAGGCTTTGCAGAAAGGGTCCAGCAAACTTGCAAAGGAGGTGGACTTGTTGGGCTCTGGGTCTGAAACAGAAAACTTGGAGTCACTGGTGGGCGACGGGTTTGAACAAGAAACCCCATGTCTTGCTGATGGCCCGGCTTTGGAACACATTGATCCAGAGCAACCCTCAACCGAAGCTACGAACTTGAACGAGGAGACTTCAGAGGATGCTATTAACTCTGTGACGCAGCCCCAAGCTTGGAAGAGGCTTGCCCGCTTGATGAAAAACCAACGCACCAGCGAGATGCCCAATGTGCTCCGTGTGGAACACGGAGGGCAAGCAGAGGGTAAAGCTGTTTGCTGATTGGGTCCGCAGTGGAGAGAACATTGCGGCCATAGAGGCCCAGCTGAAGCACACCGCCCTGCAAAAAAATGCGCACAAAGAGGTTGGGAACACTTGACTGTCAAGGAAATGCGTGAGTCTGGCATCAGTGAGAAGCTTTGCCAGAAATATCTTGCACCTGTTGCATGGCGCATTACGCTCTTTGGTTTCATCTGACCTTTGGTTTGACGCGTGTCAGACTGGCCCATCCCAGGACACGTATCTCCGCTACCATTGCAACGCAGAAGGGTGACCCAGATCCTCTTTGCCCTGCAAGCAAAGAGGATGTCAGGTACTGGGTGCTGGTCAGCCGCAAGCGGAAAAAGGTGAATGAGACCAACACTGAGGTCACTATGTCTGGGGGCATGCACCCGCTGTCTGCCTTGAAGGCCTTCCGGGGAATGGCATCGATGCCTCAAGCTCCTCGCATCGAGAACCCGAACAATGTCGAGGACATGGCGGCCTACGCTTCCAGCTCAGCTGGGACGTCCACGCCGATTGTCCCTCCAACTCCGAGCCCTGGAGGACACATTGCGTGCTTTGTCTTTGTGTTGCGCTTGCTAACCAAACTGCAGGACAGCCTGCTCCGAAGGCGAAGGCCAAAGCAAAGGGAAAGTCCGAGAACAAGGGGCCACTGGGCCTCAAGATCGAGAACAAGTCCGTGCAGGATCGCTGCGTTCTGCTTCGCTTGAGCCTTAAATCACGTTTTGGAGACTACTGAAATATGTTCAACCAGTAGAAAGATGGTCAGTGGCTATGATTGTATTTGTTCTTTTGGATTGGACTTCAGGCAATGAGTTGAAGAAGGAGATCAACGCCCTGAACAATTTGGCCTTGGATTTGCGAGCTACAAAACACCCCTCATGTTCTGCAAAGGCCGAAGATTTGGAGGCCGCCAAGAAAGAGCTCACTGATTTGTGGGAAAGGCAAGGCCCTTATGTTTCGAAGTGGTTGCCTTCATCACCCAAAGATTGTTTTTTGGCACCGGGTCGTTCACGGAGGCAGCAACACATCGTGGACTTGAAGTCCTGGGAACAAGTTTTCCCCGTGGTGGTGGAACAGGCGCACTTTTTGGGGGGGGCCTTCAAAAATAATCCACCCGCAAACTCCCGCAGGTGACATCGATCCGCCTTCGCAAAGCCCAAGTTCGGGCCTTCGTGAACGAGATCAAGAAGTGGAGCCGGCATGTGTGCTGGAAGTTGTGGTGTGTCCTGTAACGCTTATATCCTGCTGGCCAGGGGGTACAGCTGAGAAATCGGGCGCGGCTGAGGGGTTGCTTGCGCGGGGATCATTCCCTGGGAACACAGTTGTGGAAATGCACTCAGGGTTCAAAAGCCTTCATATAACACGGTATTTGCCGGAGCATTGCCCGGGGGAATGAGTTTATTGGCAACGGCTTAAGAGCCTGAGAGTCTCGCATCGCAAGAAGGAAAACACAAGCGTTACACTCTGGCAGTGGCAGCACTTGCATTTATAGTTGATTTGTGTGTGTGTGTGCGTGTGCGTGTGTGTGTGTGTGTGCGTGTGTGTGTGTGTGTGTGTGCATGTTTGTGACAGTACTTGGGGTGCCGTTTCGTTAATGCCCAACAGGTATGGAAGAAATGGCACAAGAACTTGACAACAGGACAGCCTTGCGTGTGACTCAGTTTCGATAAAAAGTCTGCTTTCTTGCTGCTAGGATTATGGAGCAAATTGGCAAAGGGAAGACTTCTTGGAAATCTGCACGAAACTTGGGCCGCGTCTACAACTCTGCTATTTTTGGAAACAGGACTTGAGGGGTACTGGGAACGCTCATGTGAAGTGTGGTGTTGAACTGGAATCTCTTTGGGTTGTTACCGTATTGGTTGTGTTAACGCCGCAGGAGGCATGACGAGGATCACACAAAAGGTCACAAAGCTTCATGCGCCTTGCCATGCGAGATATCTTGGGAACAAATACCGGTACGGGATCCCGATATGGATGCTATCAAATGGGTGGACTGGCCCTTTTTGTTGCCACACGACCTCGCTGCTTTTCTGAATAACCTGTGCGCGTGTCAACGCTTTTGATGGTGTGACTGAAGGCTGTTAACATTGGCTGTGGCTTAGGTTTCTGCATTGCTCCGTGAGGGATATCGCGATGCTCTTGGACAAACCCCGCCTGAATATTGGGAGACACTGCGCCATGAAGGGGCCACGCAGGCAACATCTTGTGACAATGTAGCTGCAATGCTCTATGGGGATGAGGGGACCTACCAGAATGACACTTTCATGGCGCTACACTGGCAAGCAGAACACGGTCCTTTCTTGGAAAACTCTTTGGCGTCCCGCTTCGTGATCACAGTTTTTCGGAAATCCGACTACGTCATCAACAAGGAGGTCAATCTTACAATGCAAGCGGTCATGGGTGTTATTTCTCGCTCGTTTGGGCGGCTTGCTGATGAGGGCGTTTCTGTGGGTGACTACGCTTGTAAGGTGTGGGTAACCGCGCTCAAAGGAGATTGGAAATTTCTTCGCCAAGCTCTTTCACTTCAAAGGCATTACAACACTTCTGAAATTTGTTGGATGTGGGAAGCAACATGTGACAACCGACTGCCATGGACAGATGTGTCAACCGATGCACCTTGGCGAAGGACCCTGTTCAACATTGAACCTTGGGATTCAGACAACAAGCCTGCTATCATGGGTATTCCATACTTCCGCCTGGAGTACGTCATGGTTGATGTTTTGCACACTTGGTACTTGGGTGCTGCTAGGGATGTCGCAGGCTCAGTTTTGGCCATTCTTCTACGGACTGGTTTTTTCCCGCAAAGAAACATTCGCTTACGCTTGTGGCAGGCTTCTAAGCGTTTTCATGAATGGTGCAGACTACATCAGAAAAATATGCCTTCCCGTTTCCGATTTACGACGGATAACTTGAACCTCAAACCTGGGCAGTATGCTGACTGCAAGCTCAAAGGTGCTCAGACTGGCTGGGTTGTGGCGTGGCTGGCAAACATGCTGGGAAACACTGATTCCGAAGAACACGATTTGTGCAAGACGGCGCTTTTTATTTCGGACAAGCTGATGAAGTTGATGGTTTCCTTGAAGAAATGTGGCTGCAATATTCTTACAGAAGACCAAGGCAAACAAATTGCAGTCATGGGAGAAGCCTTTATCAAGCTCTACCTTCACCTCCACATCTCAACAAAGACTTTGACGCCATACCTTTTGTTCCACCCAAAACCGAAGATACATATGCTCCACCATTCGTTCTTGATGGCCCAATCAACCCTTCGAAACCCAATGAGCTATGCTTGTTGGATGGACGAAGATTGGCTTAAACATTTGATGAGAATTGCGAAAGCTACCCATCCGCGAACATGCTGCCTGAACACACTCTTCGCCGTGTGTGCTTGTTTTTGAAGTCTCACTTGGACAATGCCCGCAAAGAGTTTGCCGAGAAAACAAAAGGCCCTAAAGAAGCGTGTGAAATCCAACAGTCGTGGCTGGAGTCAAAATTCCCTCAGTTTTGGGTCCGGGGGAGGGAAATCAGAGGTAAAAACGGGCGAACGGAGGGTAAATCCCAGAAACGGGAGGTAACTTCCTGATTCGGGTGATAAATTCCCTGGGGCGGTCGGCCCAGGCACCATGTGGCAAATGGGAGGTAAAAACGGGCGACCCAATTGTAAAACCCAGGAAAAGGAGGTAAATTCCTACTGTTGGTTCATTTTTTGGGCAGCCGGCATACTTGCAAAATAAACACTCCAGAACCCCAGGTATGTGTTTATATATATATATATATATGATACACGTATACATATACACACACATGTATATATATATATATGTGTGTAAGCAAAGATACATGTATAGTACTTGAACCAATATTGAGCATGGCACACATAGCTGCGCCCTTATATATACATGTAAATTGTGTATAATGTATATGAAATATACACGTGTGCGTGTGAATATGACTGTATGTTCAAATATATACAGGGTTTGGTTTCCATAACTTGAATGTTTGGCTCAAGCTTGTGGCGACCAATTGTCCCCGTCCTATGAAAAATGTGTGGCGTGCTGATTGCGCGCAAACTACTTGACAACAGCAGCTTGAGCCAGGCCCAAACAGGCCAAATGACCCCGGGGATTTGTGCCTGAAATGCCGGAATCGCTATAAATTACGCCTGAAATGCTCCTTCAGGGATTGCAAAGGTCGGATTGGTTGTAAACCGAAAGTGGCTGCGGAGGCAGACACATATTTCTTGAGATTCAAAGTGGGTCAAGTGCAAACACGCGCATCACGGAATTGAGGAGTTGAAAATATGCAAAAGTGAAAAACTCATGCATCAGAATTCGTGGACATGCGGATCATGCCCAGGTTCCCCAATAAGCAAACATGGATTCTGCTATACCGACTCCCGCAAAGGCAATGATGTCGGGTCCGTGCTTCGTGTTGTGTGCTAGCCACTCAACCAAGAATGCCTTGTTCTGCAACATGGTACGAAAAGGTGGATGTGCATCTACATTCAAGAGATTGCCGGTGAGGACGGCCTTGATGAGCTCGTCTGCTTTAGCTGAATGCTTGGTCAGCGAATCTGCCAGACAATCTTCACTTCGTACATGTGCAAGGTCGTGCATCTGTCCACTGTTGCTTTCCTTTCTCAACATCTGGATCAAGTGCATTGTTTCTTTCTGTTCCGGTTGATGTGTTGTGGATGCTGGGGTGACAAGATTGTTCGCATCAGTGCGGATGTGTACATCTGCAATTTCGCCCGTTATGTCTGACCAGAGACCGCGAAGAAATAATGCTGAACCGTAACAACGCATTAGTCCGTGCAACTCTGCAACAGTAGTGGACATGGTTTTGGCGGTGATCTTGTGCGTCTCATAGTCGGCCAATGAGCCTCTCGAGTTCGATGAGCCCTGGCGAAGATCTCTTTGTTCTGCAAGAAAAACAACATGCGCACGTTGGGATGACTTATCCTCGTTGTTGCGATAGGATGCATCTGGATAGCCAACTATGCGTGTTCATGCTAAGCGGGATGCTTTTGATGGTTCTGACTGTCTTATTAATGGCGCGAATGTCCTCAATGGTTGGTGATGATGCCTTGGATGCACACCTTGAGAATTGATAACCAATGTGGAATTGCGTTCGCGACTGTAACCAGTTGATCTGACCTAGGACACTTCTGTATGCAGTATGCATCTGTGGAGTAAGAGGAGTGTCGTCCTTCAGGTGTTTGTCAAAAGTGATCTCCTGCAATTCGTCGATGGCAACGTTCTGATGAACATTGATGTACCAACCATGCTTGTCATCTTGCTTCCATTGGATGCGCTGTCCTACGAAGAGGCAATCATTTTTGTCCTCGGAACCAACCTGAAAATCTTTCCGAAGTCGTCCCATGATTTCCTTCTCGAACACGTCATCCCCCGTCATAAGAAGATCATCTACATGAAGAGATAGGGCTCCATGAACTTGTCGATTCTTAGCATTGTTACCAGAAACAGGATCCATTAGGTAATCAACTGCTCCTTCT